GACGAGCGGCAGTAAGTTTTATATAAATTTATTGTGGCGTTATCGGTCCATTGTTTACAGTTCAGTTTGTTGGCCGGTGACGTAACGTTTTGCTGTCGAGGTGGCCGGTATGTTTTTCACAATCGACTCGCCGCCACGAAAGATTTACAGGCGTTCGGTGCGATGCTGTATGTAGCGAGGAGTTATTTCCGACGGAATCCGCCTTGTGGATTCGCTCCGACCGAAATAGTATCATCGATCTTATTTGCGAGAGGTATAACGTTGGTAGCGTATTTATTTCAATCCTTATCCAACATTATTTTCGGACGAAATTTCGCAATCGCATTTAGTTCTTTGCGCGTTTCAATTGTCATAAACCTTATTCTTTTAAATTGCTGCTTGTATTTTTATTTGGAGAACATTTTTTTTAATACAAACATTGAGCAATTGCGCATAGAAATATCATCTATTTTGTTCTCTCTCGACGGTTTTTTGTTCACGTATTAGTTCTTTTTTGAAAATTTATAATGAAAGTCGCTCAAGAAAAGACTCCTTTTTCTTAATTATGAACATAATCGTGAGTTATTTATTACCACAGTCCAGTGTGAAAATAAACTTTTTCTATTTACACAACCTTATTGTACACAAAGGAGAAGCAAACACTGAGATGTAAATAACACAGAACCGGCAAAACAAATATCATCGTTACACAAAATTTGCAATTGTGTAATTGTCTGTAGCATTTTATTGAATTAGTCCGTTGATTGTCGGTGGCAAGAGGTCGCGTCGAGGTTGGCTCTGCACTAATTGGTGCCTTAGCGCTTCGCCCACGTGCCTGTTGAGCCCCTCGTGCCCCCGACTATAACCCGGACGATTCAAGTACGTCTCTTTGTTAGTACCCGCTTAAGATTGTTCGCAATTTTGTAACATGTTAGGTACTACCAGAAATGTTTACCTGCTTTACAAGTTAAAAGGGTTAAAAATAATAATTTTACTAATATTACAAAAGCAAATGTTTAGATGGAAGGATGTTTGAAGGTATCTCCAGGACGGCTGCATAGACCTTGCCAAAATTTGGCATAGATGTAGAACATAGCCTGGAAGAACACATAGGCTACTAATTAAGTATATTTGTAAGTCCGCGAGGACGGAGGCACGGGCGATAATTAATTCAATTATAGATATAAAAGAGTGGCTTCATTCAGAATGAAAATACGTGTATTGTAGACCATACCATTGGTCTAATATAGCCGTGAGAATTTATTTTGTATTCCAAGGACGTTGGATTGCGTATTTGCAACTCGCGTTGAACCATTCGGCCGCTGCCGTTTATCTCAATAATTTATAGTTGTTATTAGCGAACGTGTGTCGAAAGCTTTCAATAACAACGCATAAAATATTTGAGTCGATATCAAGGCGGGCCCTGAGTGCATTTGTTTGTGCAAACATCTAACTGGAATAAACATGAACGTATCGAAAACCCTCCTAAATCCTATTATACGTGTTGCGCAAATCTTATTAGGATTTTCATACAATAATTTATTGGCTTGAAAATTTTATCTAATTTAAATAAGTTACAATGTAGTCTGAATAGTTTTCTTTCTTGTTGTTTATTATATTCCGTACAGCGAGAACACGATGTAATTATAAAAGATGTTTATATTTCACTCACGCACTTCAATGTTCTTTCTTTAAACATTTAACTCAAATATTTACGCTGACGGCCATTTTAAAGTTTTTATCATGAACAATACGTCTCGGATGTGGTGTTGTGGAACTGGTTTAAACGGTTTTGTTTTTGACCGATGTGTTTGCTCTGTGGCGGCCTTGACTCGGCGAAGGACGACCGGCGGCGAGGCGCGGGCGCCGGGGTGACAGTGACAGCCGGCGCGTCGGGACGTGATCTTTTTACTCTGTTCTATTTTGAATTTGTTGATATTTTTTTGAATGATTTCACACATTTTTACTGCTTGGATCTTTTGGACCGTATAAATTAAATAAATAAAGGTTAGACCTCTATTGACCCGTTTCTGTTGCCCTTTCAACCTTAACTCTCATCCTGCGCTCATAATAAACTTAGAGTCCCTTATATAAGTCTAACCTTTAACGATCTCTTGTTCCCAGAGTAAAAGCTCTTTAACACAGTAAAACTGTCGCTATAATAAAATATATTTGTGCACTGAAAAGTTGATAGGAATAAATCTATTTTTAAGTAAGAATGTATATATAAAATGCATCGGCAACAATTGTTTATAATTAACGTCATTGCGTTCGATTCCGCGCATATTTTGGCAATCGCTGCGGCTAACTTATTGGCATAGACAAAAGGCAACATCAAAGAAAACACACTAAACGAAGTTCATAACAAAATGAGCCAGTCATGGACATAACTCATGAAGTTGTTTACGAAACAACGGTAGAGGTTACCAGAGAGCTTGATCATTTTTGCAAGCTTGTAAATCAAGCATGCCTACATTCTGCAACTGAACTGCTTTGGCAAATATATAATGTAAAATGTGCAACCCATCTTTTATCTTTGACAAAAATGTTTTTGTACTTACTTAAGTGTCTTTGTTGGTTCATAAGACTGATGGCTTTAATAATAAACATAGAAGATAAACATTCGGCTTATAAATATATGAAGCTTTCCTTAAGTTTCCTGTCACATTTATGAATCGAAGCAAATAGGAAATACACGTACATTAAATGCCTTATTCATGATATTCGGAAGTGAATGTGGAAATAGAATATACGAGTGTACGTCCCGTACGTCCACACCCACAGCTGAGTGGACACGTAATGGAATGTTTTGGATACGTTCGAAGCGTTTCGCAAATAAACCGATACGATGCTCGACTTTATCTGTTTGGTCGAAATCGACAGTAAAACTTTATGGATGTTTTAGTGAAATTGTTGCTATACTAAAAGCCTTATCTTATAGCTCGTAAAATGTACCAATTTGATCTTCGATATGTTTTGTATGGGTTTTAGGTTGACTCGTGTTTTGTATGTTAGAATAGACTTACGACAAATATAATAGTGTAGGTTTTAATTTTATTAAAAGTTAGAGTTACATCAGGTTTTATTCATTGTACATCAGCGAACCAGCTCTGTTGACATCTAAATATAAATCTGGCACCGGCCACATCGGCTGGCAGGCTGGTACAATGCCATCCAAACTTTATGATTGCTTGTAATTTCGTACGTGTTACTGGACACCTCACAATTTGTAGCCCATACCTCTGTGCGTACTTTCCTTGACCTTTGATGCATGAGCTCACCTGGGATGACATGGTTAGCTACAAGCTAAGCTAGCAGCCATAACGTTTGAATTATATAAAGTTCCCTAGATACATCGTAGAATGATTTGTGTTGTATCAGTCGCGCAACGCGCACGGTCATCGCACCTTTGGGCCGTCTCCGCTCTCGAACGCATTTCCAATGCCCTTATCTAAGATTCACCGGACATTGAACTCACGAGTTAGTTTTACGCTAGCTTTTGTTTCTTGATGAATTAGTTGCTAAATGTGGAACTGCCATTTGGCTAAATAGTCCAGTCGTCAAGGTAATATGCTTACATATCATTTGTTCTCTTGCTTCGAATGATTGTTTGATGTAAATAATCTAACTACCGTCTTCCACTGGCTAGATATATTTCTCATTCACCTTAAAAAACTTATATAAAAATATGTTTTTGAATTCACGTTCCCGCAGAAAAAACTCACTGTCTAATTTTTGCAGTATATGTACATTTCAAAACTACTCGGGTGTCGCGTCTTTCTAGCATGTTTCATGCGCGTTTGTGAATTACGTTATTAAGAAAGATGAAGGAAACATTTAAATGGATAATCTTTTATTTACGATGCCTGTTTGCTATAAACAACCGCATCCAAATAAAATGGAAAGTTATAGCTTTGTTAATTGTGTCTTTATCCGCTTACAAGTTAATAAAAACGAGTTATCAAACTAAGAATACGTTTAATTAAGTCATTACTTTAGTGTTATATGTTTTTGTGCATGTTTTCCGACAATGAAAATCCATGGTTAATTTTTCTACATGTAAACCGGGAATAATGCGAGTCACGTTAATTTCGAAGTGGTATTTTTATTTGTAGATAATTAAACGGTAGTCTTAATACAAGTTTCCTTATCTCCGACGAAAATATTGATCAGAGCGCGCTTGTATTTGACGATGACTGGTTATGCAAATAACATTAATTGTTCATACAAATGCTATACAATTAATACCTCAACCAACTTCTTGTTAGAAATACATATAAAGTAGTAAAGTTTGAATAAACGTAATTGTATTAGTTATAAAAATAAAATTCTTAACGTAAATAAGACATAATGGTTTTAAAGTCTCGTGTATAGTCTTAATTCTAACTAATATTATAAATGCGTATGTTTGAATAGATGGATGCATATCTGTTTGATTGAAATCTCCAGAACAGTTGCAAGGATACCGCTGAAATTCGACAAAAATTTAGAACATGGTCTGGAAGTATACATATTAAGTTTTTTTTTACAGCTATTATTCAAATAAAAACGATCCAAACGTACTTAATATTGAGTAACAGTATCTCTCTACTCTATGTCGTTAAATTGGGTACTATTTCAGTTTATTGTAAGCTAAAAACAATTGAATGATTTTGTTATTTAATGGCGATTATTCAGCCGGTGGGGCCTGTTGAAGCCGGATCAGCGGCCTCGCGCGCAAAGTGGATAATCACGAGCGCACTTGCGAATTTGTCTACATTCAGGTAGTCAACGACGTGTGTTTATTCAATCAATTCGCAATGAATAAATGGATTTTTTTATTATATAAATATAATACAATTTTGAAATGCGCAATTCGTTAGGTACCTCTTGCAAAATGGGCAATATGTTAACTGAGTCTCTTAAGCAAAACAGATTATGTCTGATATTATTCAAGAACCTCTTCTTTTTTTGGTTTACGTTTCTCAAAGTATCTGCTATAAAGAACCTTGTACTTATCTAGTTGTTTCCTTGTTTCACAGGTGTTCGGTACAGTGGAACTGCCGGACAAGCCGATTATGTTGCCACCGTTCGTGGAGGCGACCCACTGCCTCGGTTACCACCTGACGCGCAAGGGGCGCGCGGTCGCGGACCGTGTCGTGTCCGTACTGGGTTATGCATGCCCCGATATCACCTACAGTCCAAGCCTGTATCCTATCACTGCGGCACTGCTGCATTTTATGCCTGGTAAGTATCCTTATTGCCTTTTTGAATTTAGTAACGTTTAGTTGTTAATTAAAAAAATAATTTAACGTATTGTCTTTATCTCAACGATACAGAAGAATAATTGATAACAATTCCATCTGATATTAGATAATTCGCATCCTATTCATAAGTATCGGTATCATCTTACTTCTTACTAATATTATAAATGCGATAATTTTGATGAAAACATGCATGGATGGATGTATGTTAAAGAGTATCTCCAAAAGGGCTGCATGGACCTCGCTGTTTGGCGTTTGTTCAATAAAGTCTGGAAGAATACGTAGGCTACAAAGTTTTATTTTTTAATTTCGCACGAAAGTAGTCTTGGGCGACCGCTAATGTCTAAATAATAATCAAATCTCAATTATGAAAATACTAGACAACTTATATACTACATCTTCATATCCACTAGCTATAAGTATTATAATTTGATTTATGAATTGTTCGCAAGTTAAATCTCACAAGTTATTAGCTCTATTATAACATGCAATTAATTTTAAAGCTCATTTTGTTTCCCCCGGGGAGCATAGCTCCAGGAATTGGCGCCGTTAATTTTATTGGCCCGCTTCAGCCGCTTTATTAATTATGCTCGCCTCTAATGATCGCTTTATACCGCGTCATTAGCTGCCAATGCATTATGAAAATGCATCTTACTTTATGTTTTCTTATAGTTTTTTTATTCATTTTAAGTAGATTTTGAGAAACCAACCCATTACAATATATTTAAAACTAACTGTCACCCGCGACTCCATCCGCGCGGAATTAAAAAATCTTAATAGCCCGTGTGTCCTTCTAGGCCATGTTGTACGTCATCGAGCGACTGTTCTGGAGATACCTTCTTACAAACATCCATCCATCCACCTAAAACTTTCGCATTTATAATATTAGTAACAAGTAAGATATGTCAGTTGTATTTTTTCTATAAAACTCTAATCGTATCGAATGTAAAATTTATGAAAGATGTAATTGAACTTTGCACCATTGATGGGAAGCGACAGGTAACAGCCGGTCACATAAAACATCCTCCCGATTCAACAATGACACAGGCGTCACGAAATATACCTACTGTCGGTCTCGCCTTAATTCAGTAATGAGCGCGGGGGGCGATAATTGAGCAGAGCAATAGGCAAATTGCCGGAGCTACCTTCCTAGTTTATATTTGCTACACATTTGATTTGATTTTGAACTTTAAACCAATGTAATAAAGTCGGATCTGACTTGTATCGAAAGTACTACGATCTATTTAAATCCAAATCGATATGGAACCCTCCTGCGTGGTAATAAAATCTAAAATAGGTCGTCGGTTATAGTGTCAGTAAGATACGATAAATGTTGATCGCATCATCACAGATTTGAATTGTGTTCGTCGCGCTGTCAATTTCCTACGTCTCACTCGTTGGAGCGCGAGCTAACGTATAATTGGTTGGTATTTGACCGATATGGCACAATTATTTCGGTCTGAATTCGCATAATTTGATCGTACAAAGATATCTCTGACGTGTGTGACAATGAGAAGAATTGGGACACCTGCCCGGTGCCCGTGCGAGAGGAGGCGGTAATCAGTTGCGTCAATTTGTCCGCCGGATGGACCCGAGTGTTGATTTCCTTCTTAGTGACATCTTCACACCTTTTGACGGTCCACTTGTTATTTTTTCATTGTTTCCTGCACACTGAGCTATAGTTTGAAACAGATTCGCCGGGATTGAAATTTAAAAAAAAAACTTAATTAGTAGCCTATGTGTTCTTCCAGACTACGTTCTACATCTATGCCAAATTTCAGCGGGATCCAGCCTTTTACATTTATAATATTAGTAAGATAAGTAGCTTTTATCCCAATATTTAGTTACTTGGAAATTCGTGTTGTTTTCTTTTTTTTATATCAAAAGGTGCCAAACGAGCGAGCGGCCACCTGTAATCGCTAATGTATATGTAGGTCTATGTATTTCTCGCATATGTACGTCTTAGCATTTTGGAGTTTCGTATAATTTATATTTAATAAGCTATGTCAATTAACTCACATATGGGTCATGTCATATTGTTTACATATATTCATATGCTATAAATGTACACTTACGTAAAAGCAACAGCTAAATAACACGGCTACCTCGATCTTGTGTATTTAAAGATCTATAAAAGCGGTCGCAATTTTATCGTATAGTCTATTCCCGTCGTCGCCACATCTCAGAAGCGAGATCGGAACGCATACGACACGCCAATTTATATTCACGACGCCGCTTCCGGGGACAAGGCCTTCGACTGATTGTATTATGTTGAACCAGACGGATGAATGGCCTCAGAACTATACTGGTGAATGGTGATGGTATATAAAATATTATGGTTCGTTTTGTTGATTTTAAAATATACTTTTACGTCTACATCTTACAAATATTATAAATGTGAATATTTGTATGGATGGATGTTTGTTAGAATCTCTAGAATGGCATTGATTCCGCTGATTTTGCATAGATGTCAAACATAATCTGGAAGAACACATACGGACACGCGGGCGATACCTAGTTTTATAATAATATGTATGATAATTTTTCCTATTATGAATACACTTTCTGTTTGAAAAACATAGAATGCTATTGACGTTTTAGTAAAATTTTTAATGTACCAGGACAACAGAAGTCTAATAGAGTTCAATGAGAAAACGATAAAGACAGAAAGAGATAAAGTACTCTACGTGTTTGTGGTTATAGCAATAGGAAGTATTTGTTCCGGTGGGCGCTGATACACGTGCCCGCCTCGCTACCGTTGCGTTCCAACTTTTTTCCTAGAATCGCGTGTCAAATGCGACGCTTCGAGTTTTTCAGAACTCTACAACTATTACTATGGCATTATAATAGTTTGTTTATTTATCGATTACCCTACATCTTGGGATAGCAAGTGTAATTTAATTTCGCTGACAAAATACAATAAAAATTCTTTATCACAGCTAATCTATATAATTTTTTCTTTATCTAGTATTTACTTGGATGTGAACAGGATAAAAATGATTCGTTTTAAGTTTGACCATAAAAAAAACTATTATAATGTAGGTAGTACAAAATAATAAAGAGGCAAAGCTCCAATACAAAAGCTTCATACTACCGGAATAAACACTTCACAGTACACAATTAAATAGAAACGTTGATACCATAGTTAATTCATGAAAGCAAAGGTTAAAAGGGCTGAACAAAAACTAGTGGACAAACCGGTGTTGTGGTTACAAGACGCCAGGTGGCGCACCGCTCGCCTGAGACCGGTGGACTTCCTCTTCCGCCCTCGTGTTATTTACTATGTCTTTTGTACTTTGATACTACAGCCTCATAGTCAAAGAGTGAGTTAAGAAGCTATACTACAAAAATCTTTACAAAGACGAGAATTGAATTAAGAGATATTTTATTAAAATCTAGCTCTTTATGGTGTTTCTTTCTTCAATCCTGTATCTTAAATGTTTAGGCTATTTCTTTGATAATCGCCGAAGTAATCCGCAAAAAGGCCCGTAATAAATGTTTTCAAGAAGTTATCTATTTTATTACTATGAAGCTCAATGCAATCTCATAACATGAAAGTCACGCGAAGCCTCTACGTGCTTGTAACGAACCGGGGTGGGTTATCAGAGTTATTCTAGTTTACACGAGGACAGAACAGGGAAGCAGTGCAGTAGGATAGCATAGTTGTGCTACACTTTGTCCAAACTGTACTGTTCTGTCACGGCGTGTATAGCAGTACTGAACTGTAATATTGCACTGATTCACCGTTCTGCCCTCGTGTGAAACTATCATCATGCCTTCATATCCGCCCCGCCCGCATCGCTGTAATGGCCCTTACAGTCCCGGAGACGGCGCCTCAAACGTCGGATGACATAATTTAGATCTAGGCTGCGACACGCCCGTGCCACTCAGACGGCCAATTTGTAGCTGGAGTATAACTAGACGCGAAAGTATTTTATTACAGGACTAGAGGTTTTTATGTTAAATTGCCCAACTCGATTATGAAACTGAGCAAAAAACGATGAAAATCTGCTACTTAATTTTTTTATAAAATTATTCTCTACGTACTATCTATTTTACTAGTCCCGTCCTAGCAAGTTGAAAGTTTTAATTCGATACTGAAATTGAAACAGGATACATAATTTTTCGTAAGTTCGTTTAAATTTCATAGTTAAAATGAAATCAGAGCTATTCAGTTTTCTTTAGGGAAAATAATATTAAAGTGACTCTTGTGGTTGAGTCATAGAATAGAAAAAATCGATCCATATCTGAACAAAGATACTTGAGCACGCGTTTAGCATTCGCGTCGCTTTTTTCCGCGCTCCAGCGCATTGTGACGTCACGCCACTTGTCACCAAGGACACGTCTTCAATTTTTTCAACACGGTTTTATCTTCTCTGACTATGATTTTATGTCCTATTTTGCAATTCGCACGTGGAACATAAAGCTGTATTAACACTATTTGGTTTTCTAAGATTATAATCTTAGTTTCTGTATTACTAAATGATACGATGTTTTCCTGTTACAAAAAATATTCCGCCTGTTCAAATTTCCGACGCACGTGTACGGACAATCAATGGCTCTGCCGTTGTTTATTACCACGACGTCTCTTTGTTGTCAAGTGCTTTTGTGACGTTTGAAAAAACTTGACGTCTTGAAGTGGTTTATTCAGTATGATGTTGTGGCCATACTTAGTCCTTGATAGGGATTGTACATTTTGGCAAGGTTTATTTCGAGGATAATTAAGAAAATATAGAATGGGATGTATTATCCTTGGTAGGAGATAAAACGATAATTACTATACAACCAAATGTAAATGCTCAGAAGAAAAATGTTAAGTTACTACAAAAATAGAAAAGGGCTTTTAATATTTTACCGTTTACACAGTGAATTTCATAAAAACGTTTTAATACACTTGGCTCGCTTTTAACTGAACATTTTCATCTCGCAGCGCATACTTGATTCCTCTGGGAACGGCTTTAACTATGTATTATATAGGTCGTG